TGGATGGGGCGAATTTGGAGAGGTCAGAAATGCACCCTGGTGGAGTGGGGGTGTGAGATGGGGGGGGTTGTGGGGAACGAATGAGGCACAGCCTTGGCCTCCCCACCCCCCAGCTGGCAGAATGGGGAGGTTCTGGCCCTGATGGGGGGGCCTGGGGGTGCCCCCAGGGCTCTGCCACACCTCCTCCAGTATTCCCATGCTTGTAAGCAGGGCTGGGCTGCCTGCCCCCCCCATCCCTTGTCGCTGCTCCCCCCTGGGCCTGGGCTGCTGCCAAAACCCAGGGGGGGTCCTGGGAGAACAATGAGCCTCCCTGCTTGATGGTGTGTGGGGAGCCCCCTCTGACCCCCCCCGCCTGCACCCAGGCGAGTTCGAGGAGGAGTCCAAGCAGCCCACCATGACGGAGCAGCAGCGGCACCAGCTGAAGCACCGGGAGCTCTTCCTCTCCCGGCAGTTCGAGTCGCTGCCGGCCACCCACATACGGTGCGTGTTGGTGGGGAAGGGGGGGAATGACAATCTGGGGGGGGGTGGGCACCTCGCTGTGACACCCCAACTCCGTGCCCCACAGGGGGAAGTGCAGCGTGACTCTCCTCAATGAGACTGACATCTTGGGCCAGTACCTGGAGAAGGAGGTGAGCCCCACGTCTTTCCAAAGGGGATGATTTGGGGGGCCCCTCCTCACCCAGCTGAGCTCCCCCCCCCCCCATATGTTCTCTCCTCACCACAGGACTGCTTCTTCTACTCGCTGGTGTTTGACCCTGTCCAGAAAACCCTCCTGGCCGACCAGGGCGAGATCCGCGTTGGCTGCAAGTACCAGGCAGAAATCCCAGACCGGCTGGCTGAAGGTTGGGGGGGGCTCTGTGGCACATGGGGGGGGGGCCTGCAGCAGGGGGGGTTGTGGGGATTCAGCCTGGTCCCCCCTCAACTCCCCCCCCAGGCGAATCAGACAACAGAAACCAGCAGAAGATGGAGATGAAGGTGTGGGACCCCGACAACCCCCTGACGGACCGGCAGATCGACCAGTTCCTGGTGGTGGCACGGTGAGCTGAGGCTGGGGGAACTGGGCGTGAGTCATGGGGGGCGCCTGCTGACCCCCCCCAACCCCTTTTGTTACCCCCACAGAGCCGTCGGGACCTTCGCTCGTGCCCTGGACTGCAGCAGCTCCATCCGGCAGCCCAGCCTGCACATGAGCGCTGCTGCTGCCTCCCGGGACATCACGCTGGTGAGGGCTGGGGGGCCAAGAGGACCCCAATTCCGGGGCAGGACAGGGCTCGGCCTTATCCCCCTCCCCCCTCTATTCTGTGTCCCCATCCCAGTTCCACGCCATGGACACGCTGCAGCGCAATGGGTATGATCTGGCCAAAGCCATGTCGACGCTGGTGCCACAGGGGGGGCCGGTGCTGTGCCGGGATGAGATGGAGGAGTGGTCGGCCTCCGAGGCCATGCTTTTTGAGGAGGCGCTGGAGAAATATGGGAAGGACTTTAATGACATCCGGCAGGATTTTGTGAGTGGGGAGGGGGGGCACAGGGTCTGGGGGAAAGGGGCGAAGGGCACCCCCCCCCCCGCAGTCAGGGATCATTCCCTTCTCTTCCTGCAGCTGCCCTGGAAGTCCTTGGCCAGCATCGTGCAGTTCTACTACATGTGGAAGACCACCGACCGCTACATCCAACAGGTAATGGGGGGCTGCTGTGTTCGGGGGGCTGCCAAAAGCCCCCCTGCACTGTGCTTTTGCCATCTTACCTCCGTCTCTGCCTGCAGAAGAGGCTGAAGGCAGCAGAGGCAGACAGCAAGCTGAAGCAAGTCTACATCCCCACCTAGTGAGTTGGGGAGGGAGTGCTCCTGGGGGGGCCTAGACCCCCATCTGGGCTTGGAGGGGGGACATGGGGACCCCTTGCTCTCTCTGACCCCCCCTTTCCTTTTGTTCTCTGCAGCACAAAGCCAAACCCCAACCAGATCATCTCGGTGGGCTCCAAACCTGGCATGAATGGGGCCGGCTTCCAGAAGGGGCTGACCTGCGAGAGCTGCCACAGTCAGTGGGATGGGGGGGGTATATGGAAGGAGGGGGTATACTTGGTCTGAGGTGTGCTATAGAGGTGGGAGGGAAGCGTGGGTGACGGTTGGTCAAGAATGGGGGCATCGAAGGATTTGGGGGATAGCCAGGCAGCCATAAGGGCTGTGGGAAAGAGGCATATAGGGGTTCAGCGGGCAGCTGGGCAGAAGCAGGGCTATATAGAGGGTAGTAGAGCAGGATGTGAGTGTTACGGGGGCAGCAGGGTAGCTACTGGAGCAGGAAGGGGGGGTTTGAGGGCAGCAGAACTGCAGCTTCTCTGTGTCCCTCGGGGGGTTTCCCACACCCACTGTGTGTCTCCCCCCCAGCTACCCAGTCTGCCCAGTGGTACGCCTGGGGCCCCCCCAACATGCAGTGCCGCCTCTGCGCCTCGTGCTGGATCTACTGGAAGAAGTACGGGGGGCTGAAGACCCCCACGCAGCTGGAGGGGGCGGCCCGTAGCGCCTCGGTGAGCCCGGCCGTGGGGCTGGGGTGAAGGGGGGGCAGCGTGGGGTGTGCAGAGCACTGAGCCCCTGCTGTCTCCCGGCAGGAGCCGCACTCTCGGGGTCACCTCTCGCGCCCCGAGGCGCAGAGCCTCTCTCCCTACACCACCAGCGCCAGCCGGGCCAAGCTGCTGGCCAAGAACCGCCAGACCTTCCTGCTGCAGACCACGCGGCTGACGCGCCTGGCGCGGCGCCTGTGCCGCGATGTGTTGCAGCCGCGCCGCGCTGCGCGCCGCCCCTACGCACCCATTAATGCCAACGCCATCAAGGCAGAGTGTAGGTGATGGGGAGAAACGGGGGGTGAGGGAAGTGGGGAGGCACGGGACAGCGGTGGTGACATCCTGGAGGAGCTGCGTCCAGCTCTCAATCACAGCATCCCGATTTGGAAAGGAACCTAAAGCTCATCCAGTTCCAATCCCCCTTCCACAGGCAGGGACCACTTCCCCTGGAGCAGCTTGCTCCAAGCCCCTGTGTCCAACCTGGCCTTGAGCATTGCCAGGGATGGGGCAGCCACAGCTTCTCTGGGCACCCTGTGCCAGCGCCTCAGCACCCTCACAGGGAAGAGCTTCTGCCTAAGAGCTCAGCTCACTCTCTGCAGTGGCAGGGGGTTAAAACTGGATGAGCCTTAAGTTCCCTTCCAAACCAGAACTAATGCATGATCCTCACACTGCCAGATCCTTCCTTACCTCCCTGTCTTCTCTCCCAGGCTCCATCCGCTTGCCCAAGGCTGCCAAGACCCCCCTCAAGATCCACCCCCTGGCCCGGCTTCCCCTTGCTGCCATCGTCAAGGAGCTGGGTGAGGAGCTGGGGGTCCCCAGGGTGTGTGTGTGGGGCCACTGCGGACCCCAGGCTATGGGGACTGGGTTGTGGGGCTCCTCCTGGGAGACAGGGGTTGGCTGTGGGGTCCTCTGGGGGTGCTATGGAGCAGCCCCTGGACTCCCTGTTCTCACCCCCAACAGCTGCACAAGCCCCCTTGAAGCCGAAGACGCCGCGGGGCACCAAGACCCCCATCAACCGGAACCAGCTGAGCCAGAGCCGGGGGCTGGCAGGGCTGGTGGGCAAGAGGGGCTACGAGGGGGGTGGCGAGGGCCACCGCCCCCCCCGGGTACGGGTACGGAGCCTGGGACCGGGGGGGCTGTAAGGGGACAGTGAGGGCCATATCCGGCCCCTCTGGGGCTGGAGGCGGTGCTGTGGGAGCGGCGGGGGGGGGTGGGGGTGTGTGTGTGTATGATTGACGGGGGGTGAAGCCTGGGGTGATTGACAGAGGCGGGGCCAGTGGGAACGGGACTCACCCTGATTGGTGGGGAAAGTCCCTGGGGGCGGGCACAAGGGTCCATTGACCAAGTAGGTTGGATGGGCTGGGGGCGGTGTGTCTGGTTGACTGACAGCTCCCACAGCCAATGGGTGGGGGTGGTAAGGAAAGGCGATGTGTGGGGGGCGGGACCTCACGTTGCCTAACTCAGGTTGGTGCCTCGGGGCTCCCCTTCTCTGCCAACGGGCGCCCCCTGGCTGCGGGGCTGCGCACTGGGGCCCCCCCCGCCAGCAAGCGCCAGAAGCTGAACCCCGCGGATGCCCCCAACCCCGTCGTCTTCGTGGCCACCAAGGACACCAGGTTGTGGGGAGCAGACAGGGGGGGTTGGGGGATGCTGTGGAGTACCCTCCATCACTAACCCCCCCCTCCATTCCTCTGTCCCTGCAGGGCGCTGCGGAAGGCATTGACGCACCTGGAGCTCCGCCGCGCCGCCCGCCGCCCCAACCTGCCCCTCAAGGTGAAACCGGGGCTGCCCCTGCGGCCCGGGGGGGCTCTGGCACCCTCCGCACCCCCCCACCCCGCCAGCACCTCAGAGCCCATCGTCCTCGAGGACTGACCCCTCCCCCCCCACCACCCCTCCCCCCGCCGCCGGGCCGGGCCCCTTTTGTATTTTTTTTATTTCCATAGAACCCGCGGGGGCCGCGGGCCCGGGGCTGGGCCTGGAGCCGGTCCGGAGCCCCCCCCGCTGCCCCCCCGACCCCCGCAGGCCCCTTTTGTACGTGGAGCAACGCCCCCGGTTTTGTATCTCGGGCTGTCCCGGTTCTGTAGTGACAGGAAATAAAAGAAAAGGCGATTTTTCTTCACCGGGATCCGACAACCGGCACCGGGGGGGGGAGCCCTGCGCGGAACGGCTGTTGAGGGTTGTGTTTCCGGGGGTCCTGGGAGCGGAACGGAGCACTTAGAGTGCGTCCTCGCAGGGGGAAGCGAGGCGGGACGGACCACTTCCGGCGGAAGTTGCCCTGAGGGAAACGAGAGCGGGAGAGCGCCGGGTCCCGGTGCGGGTTCTGCCATGGACGCGGGCAGCGGTCCCCGTTCTGGACCCACCATGGACGCAGGCTCCGGACCCTCTTCACCCGGTTCCGCCCCCGCCATGGACGCAGGCTCCGGACCCTCTTCCCCCGGTTTCGGCCCCGCCGCTGACTCTGACCCCTCTTCCCCCGGTTCCGGCCCCACCATGGACGCAGGCTCCGGTCCGGTCTCCGACCCGAGCACGGAGCCGGGTTCCGACCCGTTGGCAGACCCCGACGTGGAGGCGCTGCCGCGGGGCGGGTTCCGCTGCCGCCTCTGCCAAGTGTCCGCTGCCAACCGTGAGTACCGGAGGCTCCGGTGCTGGGGATGCGGGTCCCGGGGCTCCGGCTGAGAGCGCTGCCTCCTCCCCCGCGCAGGGCCGAGCCTAACGGAGCATCTGCGGGGCAAGAAGCACCGGCGGCTGCAGAGCCTGCGGGCCGAGCGCCGGGCACAGGAGCAGCGCAGCCTCTTCGTCAGCGGCTTTGCCCGCGGCACCTCGGCCGAGGAGCTCAGCGACTACTTCGGGGCCTTCGGGGAGGTGGCGGCCGTCGTGATGGACAAGGAGAAGGTGGGGGCGAGCCACAGGGACCGGGCGGGGGGCACAGGGACAGGGCTGATGGCGTGTCCCGTCCCCCGTGCAGGGTGCCTATGCCATCGTGGAGCTGCAGGATGCTGCCAGCCGGGAGCGGGCGCTAGAGGAGCCCCAGCACAGCCTGGCCGGGCACCGGCTCCGTGTCCGTCCCCGGGAGCAGAAGGTCTTTGCCTACGGCCCTGTGGGGCGCGGCAGCCACCGGGACCCCCTCAGCCCAGGGCGGCTGGAGCAGGCACTGTGGCAAGCATCCGATGTGAGTAGGGAAGGGGGGGTCTCCTGCAGGGATGGGGAGGGATGTACCCCAGAACCAGTGATGACACCGGTTCCTGCAGGTGGACTCTCAGATGTCACAGCTGGTGGGGCTGCTGGAGCTGAGCGAGGACGAGAGGCGCGTGCGGCACCTCCTGGTCACGCTCTTCCAAGAGGTTTTCACTGAGTTCTTCCCTGGTGAGTCTCCTCCTTGTGCCCCGTGTGCCCATGCACGAGCGCAGGACACAGTCTCATCCTTCACACCCCCACCCAGGCTGCACCATTGTGCCCTTTGGCTCCTCTGTCAATGGCTTCGACACCCGCGGCTGCGACCTGGACCTGCTCCTGGACCTGGAGCCCACCAAGTCCCTCCAGGCATCATCACAAGCTGCTCCCAGGGCTGGATCCTGCTCTGGCGCCGAGGATTCCATCCTGAGTGACATTGACCTGGCGGCAATGCCGGCGCCAGAGGTGCTGGAGCTGGTGGCGACAGTTCTGCGGCGCTGTGTGCCGGGCGTCCGCCGCGTCCGCGCCGTCCCCACCGCCCGCCGCCCCGTCGTCAAGTTCTGCCACAAGCAGTCGGGGCTGGCGGGTGACATTTCCATTGACAACAGGTCTGGGGATGCAGGGCTGGGGGCAGGGCTCGGTGTCACCCTCCTGGGGCTGGTCCTTGCTCCGTGACACGTGTGTGTCCCCGCAGGCTGGCGCTGCTCAACACGCGGTTCCTGCAGCTCTGCGCTGAGGCGGACGAGCGCGTGCGGCCGCTGGTGTACGCGGTGCGGCTGTGGGCCAAGCAGCAGGGCCTGGCCGGTGAGCGCGGGCAGGGAGCTCATGGCAAGGTCCGTCGGTGGGCACAGAGCATCTCTGACACCGTTTTCCCTCAGGAAACCCCGCTGGGGGAGGCCCTCTCCTCAACAACTATGCCCTGACGCTGCTGGTGCTGTTCTTCCTGCAGACACGCAGCCCCCCCGTGCTCCCAACCGTGGCACAGCTGCGGGACTTGGCAGGTAGGGACCCTCTGTCCGTCCCTCTGTCACCTTTTGCTTGTGGCTGCTTTCTCATGGTTGCTCTGCTCCAGGAGATGAGGATCGCACCGTTGTGTGTGGATGGGACTGCAGCTTCCCCCGGGATGTGGCACTGCTGGAGCCCAGCACCAACACTGAGAGTTCCTGTGAGTGCTGGGCTGGGGGGAGCCGGGGGGACCCCCTTAGCCTGGGCTTGCCCTCACTGCTCCCTCCCACAGGCTCGCTGCTGGCTGAATTCTTCCACACCTTTGGGGACTTTGACTTCCCGGGACAAGTGATCTCGCTGCGGGAAGGCCGAGCGATGCCGCTGCTACCCCCTGCCCTCCCCGAGGCCAGCGAGGGGCTGAAGCTGGGCCCCCTGAACCTGCAGGACCCCTTTGAGCTGAGCCACAACGTGGCAGCCAACGTCAACGAGAAAACAGCGTCGCGCTTGGGGCGCTGCTGCCGCGACGCCGCCAAGTACTGCCGCAGCCTGCAGTACCGGCAGAGATCCAGCAAGGGCCGGGCCTGGGGGCTCACACGGCTCTTCCAGCCGGGAGCAGTGGAGCCGGGAGCAGGGAACGCCGGCGCTTTCCTCATCACCATTCCCTGGGGCTCCACTGGAGGCCCCGAGCAGCTCGGCCGGGAGCCCCGCGGTCGCGGCCCATGGTTCTGGGAGGTCTGTGCCGCCATCGGCTTCGTGCTGAGGGACGTTCTCCAGTGCAGCTGCACCGCGGGGAAGGCACCGGGAGCTCCCAGCGAGGGGTTGGGGCTCTCGGGGGACTCGGCGCTGCCTGAGGAGCCGCCAATGGGCCCGGACACGGAGGAGGAGCCGCTGGCAGTGGGCTGCAAGCGTCGCGCTCCCGAGACACCCAACGGCACCGAGCTGCCCGGGGGGAAGCGACCGCGGACGAGCAGCCCCGAGGAGACAGCGAATTGGAGCTGCTCCGTGTGGCACCGTGTGTGGAGGGGCCGGCGCCGCGTCCGCCGGCAGCTGCAGCACAGCCATGGCCTGGAGGGGCCGGGGGGCGAGGAGCTGGAGCTGGAGCAGAGGGTGTCCGAGGCCATCGTGCAGCAGGAGGGCTCCGGGCGCCCGGCTGAGCCGCTGCTCTGCTTTGAGGCCAGTGCGCGGGTGGGGGGCACGCGGTGGGTGCTGCTGCGGCTGCTCCCGTCCCCAGCCCCCCCCGAGGCTCCGTTCCGGGACTTCTTCCACTTCCTGCAGAGTTTTCTCCCCGCTGCAGTGCGGCGGCGCCTGGGCCGGGGGCTGCGGGGGGGTCCGGGCCCCCAGGACGGAGGGGAGCGAGGGCAGCTCTGTGCACCCTGAGGTGGGCTCCTGCAGTAAAAGGTTGGTTTTCAGCCGTGTCCCGTAGAGGTCCCGGGGGGAGGTTTTCTGGGCAGAGAAAAGGGAATAAGGGAGAAATGAAGGCAACGGGGCGGGCTGGCGAAGGGCGGGCTGTAGGACCCGGGGCTCGGCGGGGGCGTGGCATGCAAATGTAGGGCTACAACCCGCGGGTGTAGGCGTGGTTATGGTAATTAACAGCGCATTGCGCGAAGGGGACGCCGGGAGGCTCCGCGTGGGAAGGGTTCCCGGGGCTCGCGGGGGGTCGGTGCCCACGCAGCCGGGACGAGCGGTGCGGAAACAGCGCGGGGAAAGGGAGCGGGGAGCGGAGGGAGCACGGAGCGGGGTGACCGTGACGTGGGGGAGAGCGGCCGCGGTTGGGGCGTGTGGCGGGAGGGGTTCGGGCACTGAGGCACGCGTGCCTTTCGGAGGACCAATCCCCCGTGCGTCTTCAGCTGAATAAAGCATACCTACTTTACAGCTTTAACCAAGTGGTGGGGTCTATTCCGCTATCAGCTCCCGTCCCCAGCCCCCCCCGGGGCTCCGGTCCGGGACTTCTTCCACTTCCTGCGGAGTTTTCTCCCCGCTGCAGTGCGGCGGCGCCTGGGCCGGGGGCTGCGGGGGGGTCCGGGCCCCCAGGACGGAGGGGAGCGAGGGCAGCTCTGTGCACCCTGAGGAGGGTTCCTGCAGTAAAAGGTTGGTTTGCAGCCGTGTCCCGTAGAGGTCCCGGGGAGAGGTTTTCTGGGCAGAGAAAAGGGAATAAGGGAGAAATGCAGGCAACGGGGCGGGCTGGCGAAGGGCGGGCTGTAGGACCCGGGGCTCGGCGGGGGCGTGGCATGCAAATGCTGGGCTACAACCGACGAATGTGGGCGTGGCTATGGTAATTAACAGCGCATTTGCGAAGGGGACGCCGGGAGGCTCCGCGTGGGAAGGGCTCCCGGGGCTCGCGGGGGGTCGGTGCCCATGGAGCTGGGACGAGCGGTGCGGAAACAGCGCGGGGAAAGGGAGCGGGGAGCGGAGGGAGCGCGGAGCGGGGTGACCGTGACGTGGGGGAGAGCGGCCGCGGTTGCGGCGTGTGGCGGGAGGGGCTCGGGGGATCGCTTCTCGGCCTTTTGGCTAAGATCAAGTGTAGTATCTGTTCTTATCAGTTTAATATCTGATACGTCCTCGATGAGAGGACTTTATATTAAACGGATTTTTGGGCGTGGGAGCCGGACCCGGAGCTTGCTCCATCCGCTCCGCGCATCGTCCCGGTATTGCAGCGCCTCCGGGCTCGGTGCACCCCTGCGGGGGTCTCAGGGTGGTCAAAGACAGAGCGGAACCTGCGGTAACGTTTAACGGGTGCAGCCTTGGGCTCCTGATGCCGTCCTTGTGCTGCCGTTGCTGCTGCTCCCCCGGGGGTAACTCGGTACCGCTCTGTGGGTAGACCTGGGGTCCCGTCCGCAGCCCCCTCCGTGGGCTCTGGAGCAGCTCCCCCAGGAGCCAGGCTGAGAACATTGGGGCTGCTCAGCCTGGAGGAGAGGAGCTGCGAGGAGAGCTCAGAGCAGCTCCAGGCTCTGAAGGCGGCTGCAGGGATGCTGGGCAGGGACCTTCAGCAGGGGCTGCAGCGATGGGACAAGGGCTGATGGGGTCAGACTGGAAGAGGGGAGATGTAGACTGGATTTAAGGAAGTTCTTCCCTGTGAGTGCAATGTGCGGGGTTTGTTCATCAAAAGCTTTAAAGGGAAAAATCGGGAAATATAACCGAGAAGATGTTGTCCCTCATGGCTCGAGGCAACCGAGTCCACGAGCGAGGTAAAATACCGTGGAGAACTGACTCCTGGCGTTGGAGCTACACGGGAGTACTGGAAGAACCGCCTCAGTATCCAAAGGGACTTGAGAGTCCCCTATAGAAAATACACCCAAGGTTCTAACTGGAGGAATAATATTGGTGCAGTTAATCCAAAACTATCAATAACAAAGAAATGGAAAAGATTCCACCCTTTTTGGCACATCCTAGACATTTATTCTGCTTATAACATATCTACCTCAAACATGGGCTAAGGAAATGAACTACCAACCTTTTAAGTGGACCCTACTCCGATTTGAAGCTCGACAGGTTATCACAACCCAAAGAACACCGGGAGAACCAAGCTTTAATGCTACTCTATGTCAGCTTGTCCCGAGACCCCGATGTTGGGAGTACCTGGGATTCTATATGTGCCCTAGTTCGACTCCTGGGAAGGGATGTTGTAACTACCCTAACCAATATTACTGCAGTTATTGGGGTTGTGAGACCAGAGCCCCTGCTTGGACACCGGGTAGCGGTATAGACGAATACTTAAAAGTTCAGTGGGGTCCATATGGGTGCAGACCACCACAAGGGGGGGAGGACGTGGGAACTGTAAATACCTCTTTTTCAATGTCACCAACCCCGGAGATGTGGGAGGATAACTGGAAGAGTGTGGGGAGTGAGGTACACGGAACCAGGGACAGGGAAGGGCGGCTTAATTCTGATAGAAAAGGAAGTAGTCCCAAATGATCCCCTGCCAGTAGGCCCTAACCAGATATGAACTGATGATTCGGCCGAAGAAACCACAGCTAGGCACACGGATCCTAAGGAAGACAATAACGATACCCTCCTGAGCACTGAAGATGGCTCAAATCACCCAAACTCCTGATGAAACCCCTGAGAATAACCCCCTTTGGAAGTTAATACCCGCTAGTTACCTGCTGTTGAACAAAACTAATCCAAATCTTACGGAACACTGTTGGTTGTGTTATGGGGTGAAACCACCCTTTAATGAGGCTGTGGGAGTAACCAGGGAACCTACACGCATAAATGGGACTAACCCGGCACAGTGTATGTGGGACACAGGAAAACCAGGGATTACCTTAACCCAAGTGACGGGAAAAGGCTTGTGTACAGGAAGGATTCCAGACCACAGAAGGCGGTGATGTGCCAATACTGATAGGAAGGGGCTGAAAAGACCCGAAAAACCTGCAGAATGGTCATTCCCAGCTAGTAACACCAAGTGGGTTTGCTCCGCTATAGGAGTTGCACCTTGCCTATCGGTGAAACATTTTAATGAATCCTCAGACTTTTGTCTTCAAGTAATAATAATCCCTAAAATGTTTTATCACCCTGAAAACTTTATGTGCGATTCCTCCATTACTCAGGGACAGCACCTGCCCCAACCAGACCCATTTACGGCATTAACAGCAGCCGCTTTAATGATCCTAGGGGTGTCGGGGTAGGCACAGGAGTAACCTCATTGGTACAACAAAGGCAAGAGTTTAAAGCACTAAGGACAGCAGTAGGCGAGGGCCTGGTGAGAACTGAACAGTCAATAACTGCTTTAGGGAAAGCTGTTAGATCGCTGTTGGAAGTGGTATTACAAACCGAAGAGGACTTGATTTAACGTATTTACAACAAGGAGGGGAGTGTGCAGCACTTAAGGAAGAGTGTTGTATATATCCAGATCACACGGGGGGGCACGGGATACTATGGCCAGATTACGAGAGGGGCTGGAAAGAAGACAAGGAGAACGGGAGGCACAACGCAGTTGGTATGAATCTTGGTTTAGTCACTCTCCCTGGTTTACAGCCTGGCTGTCAGCAAGAGCAGGTCCCCTGATATCGATCACGTTGGGATTAACATTTGGACCATGTATTTTAATAAAATACTAGAAATTGTAGGAAACAGACTTGAAGCAGCTCACCTGAAGCTGACAGGAACTAAATAGGAACCTATAGAACAAGAAAGTTCACTGCTGTTAAGCCAAGATGTGTTACGAGGATCTGATGAACAAAAATGATGAAAAGGGGGAATTGTAATGTGTGGGGTTTGTTCATCAAAAGGTTTAAAGGGAAATGTTGCTGGCTGCACTCTAGGAAACTCTCTGTAACTGTCGCTGTGTGGAGCCGTGTTCTTTCTGTACTTACTGTACTTTGTGAGTTACAGAGGGGAAGCCGGTTGTGTTATTACACAGGGTTGCGGGAGGGGAAGGCAGCCCCGAGCCCGGTGCGGGGGCTGGAGCCAGCGAGATGGAGCTGGTGCTCAGAGCGCACCCCCTGCTGGTGGAGGAAGGCGCAGTTCGGTAGTCTGGAGCTCATCTTGTTCCGTGCCCCAGGTAAGGAGCAGAGGTTGCGGTGATGGTGAGGCTGGTAACGGACGATCCTCGAAACTTCTCGACGATGAGACCCCCCCAGCACCAAAGGGGAGCGATGGAGAAGAGCCGCGTCTGCATCCGAGCCAAAAGAAGCAGCGGGGTTGGCTGAAGCCTTGAACCGAGAAATACAAGGACAGCATCCCACAGACCCGGTGCCCGTCTTGGGCGGAGCGGGGGCTCCCCGGGGCGCCCAGCGCTGGTTTTTGTATCTGCTGTCGCTTGCTCAATTTAATCCGTTTAGAAATGTACGTTTTGAAACGAGATTGGCTCTCTCATTGGTAACATGAGGGTGCTGAGGCGCTGGCACAGGGTGCCCAGAGGAGCTGTGGCTGCCCCATCCCTGGCAGTGCTCAAGGCCAGGTTGGACACAGGGGCCTGGAGAAAGCTGCTCCAGGGGAAGGGGTCCCTGCCTGTGGGGGAGGCTGTGATTGGATGAGCTTTAAGGTCCAAGACACCGGTAACGCTTCATAACGCTTGGCTCTCCTTTAACCAAGGTAAGGATCCCTCCTCCATAGACCCGGCTGTGCTGAGCTCCATTGTCCTCTCCCTCATCCCCAGCACCTTGGTCACCCCTAAGGGCACCTGGAGCCGCTGTGGTGGCTTCAGTGGAGCCCTCTCCCCTCCTCATGAGCCTCAGTCGCTCTTCCACAGGCACCCCCGTGTGGTGGGGAAGGAGCCTGCGTGCCCTGGGGAGGCTGGGAGCTGTGCTGGTGCTGGCACACGCCTCCGGTAGGGTCCCCATGGCGGCCAGGTCTCAGCTGCAGGCTCAGACAGAGCGTGTCCATGGGCAGGATGGGCTCACTGCCTTCAGGCAGCCGTGCGAGGGGAAGGGTAA